ATCTCTTTACGTAACGATAGTAAAATGTCAATGTTACTTCCTTATTTTGTTANATCCCACAAAATTGGAATTCTCAAAATGCAGCATTCAAGACTTGGTGACGAATTCTTGAGGGAGTTGAGGGGGGGGGGGTACAGTTGGTTTCACATCATTCTTGTTACGGGTTCATATTTTCCTTCTATAATTTCTGTAAGCCAGAGATTTCTCTCCGTGCTTTACAGAGTCTGTTGTCTTGTACGAGTAGGTTGAAGTCGAGGACGGTACGTACCTCGGTCTGTACACAGACGAGTAATTTGAGAGCCCGCTCGAGCTAGTTGATCTATAATTAGAGTTTAAACTAGAGTTTCTCAGAGAGGTTGATCTAGAATACCCCAGTAGCGGGCCCCCTATGTCCGCTGTTAAACTCAGGGACCGTGTGTAGTTGGTGGACAGCCGAGTGGACTCGGGGGTGTACGAAGAGTAACTTGATGAACTCGAACTCAACGTTCTCCCATAATTCCCAGAATAACCAGCGTCATAAGACACAGACCGGCCAATAGCCGAACGAGAAGCTCTAGAGTCCTCCTGGCGACTTGATGACGACCGTGAACTTTCGCTGCTTGAACTTGAACCGGTGGATCTGAGCGAGCTTGAACGCGACCATGGCTCTCTGGTGGTCGATTCTGTCGTACCGCGCGCGCGCGAGGTGTAAGATGGCGGCGAGTCGTCCGTGTCGGTTTGGCCCCGCCGAAAGGAACTCTGGGAGTACGACGAGTACCTGTCTGATGACTTTACGTCGTTGCTAGGCGACCTTCTATTCCTGGTGCTGACGTCACGTGCCGACCCGGCCCTGCACAGCGGGGTGTAGTGGGAGTAGGAGAAGCCTAGAAAGACGGTATCGCCGCCGCCGAACTTGTAACCCTTTGGTCGGTAGGAAATTCTCCTGTTGCCGTGCCGGTTGGAGATCACGCAGACTTCCCTGCCGAACGTGTTGGACACGGCCTGCAGGACGATCTCGTCTCCCCAGGTCCCGTCCATGGTCATGGTGCGCAGGTAGCTCTCCCAGGCTGACTCCGTAGCGCCGGGCAGCCAGTTCTTGATGTGCTCGCCGTCAACCTGGTAGGATAGAAAGGAACGTCAACTTTTTGAACCGCAGGAATACTTATTTTTAAGAGTAAAAAGAAGTTCACAATCGTAAATATAGTTCCATCAGGTTGTTAAGTCACTGAGTAAAGAGACGTTTTTTACACAACGAAGTCTTTTATTCAGCTGACGTTTATGCTTAGGTCACATTTCCAAACCGGGGCCCAGCCGGGTTGTTTGTACGAACGAACAATTAATTTTTCTTATCAAGAATATAGAGAAATAAAGCCCATGATTGTTCTTAATAACTCTTCGCTATTGTGTTGTCTTCTGTATCGTAGTTTTCGTTCCCAAAAGCTGCCCGGCCGGGCCCCGTATGGGAATTGTGATCCCAGCATTAGGTGGCTGTCTGTCACCTTCCTCAGGGCAATTCTGACTGGTTCGCATTATATCTATAGCAGCGACACTGTGCTGCAGTGCAATGTGAACCAGTCAGAATTGCCCTGAGGAAGGTGACAGATGGTCACCACAATATTGGCTGAATAAAAGACTAGGTTGTGTAAAAAGAGTCTCTTTACTCAGAAGTTTACAATATTCTACACGGAAACCCTGAGAAACAACCTTAACAAATTGCACAACCTGAAGTCTGATATTCGATACGATTGGACCAACTTTTCTACACATAGGGCTAATATTTTGTGGTGTGGAGTGACTGGGTGGAGGCCCATAACAAGATCATTATATGTAATGGAGACATGAGTTGATTATAGCTATATGTCATTGTTGATTCTGTGATTAGGGTATGGTTTGCAGAAGTTAATATGTGGCTTCTTTAACGTACATATGATTCGATTCACACATGTCCATTAAATATAAGCTATCACGACTAAAACGCATATGGGGCAGTTACAACAAAAATATGTACATTTAAGAAATGATGGCATGTTCCTACATATAATGTCTTTAGTTAACTATATATGAAAAAGTATATATAAAAAACTCTGTAAATTTGTATGCAAATGTGTGAAGAAGAGAGAAGAAACATGTACAGTTTAGGTATAGAGATAGAAATAGTATAGTTTTCCTAATCCTTATTTGTAACTAAAGTGGTGCATTTAGCCCCACTGGGGCATGGATATGCAATAAACTTCATAGTTATTATCATTAAAAATCGCCCCTCAATATTCTGTCATATTTTGTTTTGGAACAATATCAATTAGACTTCCCCGTGTTTTTATCTGACGAACAGTATCAGTTTTCAGTAGTACCCACACGAGATAGTGTCACACTGAATTAAGTTGAAATGTTCAGTGCTAAAACCTCTTACAAACACTGTGTAGTAGTCAAACTGGGTCGTTTTGTTAACATCAAATGATTGGCCAGATAGTTAATCTAATTACTATAAATCACGATTAATTTTCTCCTAAAAAGAATTTAAGTAGTACCCGCACGAGATAGTGTCACACTGAATTAAGTTGAAATGTTCAGTGCTAAAACCCCTTACAAACACTGTGTAGTAAGGGTTATATATAGAGTTAAACGGGGCCGTTATGTTTACACCAAATGATTGGCCGGAGAGTTAATCTAATTGCTATAAATAACGACTAATATTCTCCTAAAAAGAATTTAAGTAGTACCCACACTGAATTAAGTTGAAATGTTCAGTGTTACTAAAGAACAAACGGTGTATAGTAGGGGTTATATATAGAGTTTAACGGGGTCGTTATGTTTACGCCAAATGATTGGCCGGATAGTTAATCTAATTACTATAAATTACGATTAACTATCTCAAGTATTCAGTAGCACTCACACGAGATAGTGTCACACTGAATTAAGTTCAGTGCTAAAACCCTTCCAAACACTGTGTGGTAGGGGTTATATATAGCGTTAAACGGGATCGTTATGTTTACACCAAATGATTGGCCGGATAGTTAATCTAATTACTATAAATCACGACAAATTATCTCCTAAAAAGAATGTTAAAAACCGCCTGGTTGTCTCTGTACAAGCGAAACGATTTGGCCCATTTCGCAGAGCATGTTCAAAGAAAAGCAGCAACAATGAGGGTTCAGGAATCGCTACACATGATTAGAGATCACACTGTTGGTGATGGAAAGATCTTTACCTTTAAACTGTGCTATAAATAACCTATAGAAACGCAATCGTCCTGACCGGCGGATCGTGTTACGTTAGTCGATATTTCCTGATTTAAGGAAACATTACGTCAAGACTAAACATGATGGAAAGGATCTCTCCCCTTGGGGGCAATCAGCAAGTGTGATGAAACAAGTTATGAAAAGTGCTGTAGGATCGCGTCCTACTTTAACACCATCGTTGATGAGATTGAAGTGATGAGATGGTTGTTTCGGCACGGACCACACCGCCCCCACCCACCCCACCGCCGTATGATCACACAACACACACGCATACTCACGTATGGGTTCGAGCGCAGCCAGGACACCACTTTGCGGCGAACTTCCGCAGCGGAGGGTTTGCCTTCCAAGTGGCGGGCCACGGCGTGAAACAGGCAGTTCCCGTCGCCTGGTACGGACTCCATCACCTCCAAACCCTCCGTCCGCAGCCGCCCCGACAAGCCGTAATCCGCCATCTTAGATTCTCACTGCCCCTTCACACACAACAAACGCCCGTGTTGGAAATCTTTTTCTCTCCCTCTCCGTGCCGCTTGCCGCTACAGTCCGCCCACTCGCCGGATCGCCCTCCCCCTAAATGTTAACTTATGGAGGCGTATGTTGCCTATCAAGTTGCGATATTGTTGTCGTCATAGAGTGACAAGCGAGTCTGTCGGGCTATTTTGGTACCAAATATGTAGAGAAGGGAATGCCTGATATGTTGTGTGCCTCGCGGGGGCTAGTGTCTGTATCCTTGACACGTTAGGAGTTCATAGTGGGGCTGAGACGGGACCAATTTCTCCTCGATATACAAGACTGACAAAGACTCTAGCCGCGCCACTATGAATGCAAATTTTACCCGCATCCGTGAATCGATACTCATGAAACATTTAGTCCTACCCTGAGTGAAAATGGTGGCGAGAAAAAGACACTTCAAAAGTGCGGTTAGAAGAGTTATTGCCGTGTGCGAGATCTCCGTCCTTTTGTTTATTGATATCTGAGGTGTAATATGAGAAGGCAGTCACTTGTTGCCGACGCTTTTATTGGCTGTGCTGTGTGGGTCATGACGAATGTGATAGGCTAGGACATCGCTGAGTGAGAAAGTGGGGGTACCAGACGGCGGTAAGGCCACAGCAATTCAATTCTATGGATCACATCCTCCGCAGACTCCAAATCTAATGCGATAGGGCGAAAAAAAAACAAGGCGAGCGAAAAAAAAGGTTCCTACATTCTCAAAATTTGACATAATAAAAACCTTGTTAAACAAGAAATCATACCTATATTGTGCTAAGTTTACTGCAAACTATTACAACATCCATGTCACTGATAAATAAACGTTTTCAATCATTGTACAAATGGTTTTGATTCAGTGTTAACATATAGAAGGAATGAAATGCATCACTGCATCAAAGAAAAAGACAAAACATTAAATCAGAGCCTTGTCCTCTCTTCATATTTATCTGCCATCCATACCGTGGCCGACAAGAACAAAATTTTACACCGCAACTTTTGGTGTTTTACACCGCAACTTTTGGTGTTTTACACTGCAACTTTTGGTGTTTCACACTGCAACTTTGGGTGTTTTACACTGCAACTTTTGCTGTGTTTTACACTGCAACTTTTGCTGTGTTTTACACTGCAACTTTTGCTGTGTTTTACACTGCAACTTTGGGTGTTTTACACTGCAACTTTTGCTGTGTTTTATACTGCAACTTTTGCTGTGTGGAAAACTTACACCCCTCCCCTTTTATAATGGACGGTCCCCCTGTCAGGTCAAAGGTGACAACGATGGCATGCAAACTACGTCGACTGAGTTATCCTTTTCGTGCATAAGTTTTTTAGAGGAAAAGCTTGGCTACGTTGTGACGTTAGTTTTTTTCTAAAGGCCATTGAGTCACGTGACATTTTCTAGCTAGAGAATTCGGACTCGCAAGGTCGCTAATAATTTGATGAGTAAATATTGGGCCTATGGGAGTCAAATGTGGCACCACTTGGTACTATGAAGCAATAAAGACTTATTTTCAATTATGAAGTGTTGACTCTTGACTCAGGTACTAGTAAGTTATCGATCATTTATATGGAACAATACGAGCGATCGCCATGACGTCACCGTAGGCAAAAAGTGGGTGCCAGTTGGCTGATTTGCCTACCAAGAATTTGCATATGTCTTCAAATAATTTGCATGCGTATGATGTAAACAAAAACAGCGATCACTCGTATACAAATGTAGAATGATATTGTATACAATATTTATAGTTAATAAGACATCTAATCAATGTTAATTAGTCAATCACTAATTTATAAACTGTCATCATGGAGGCAATGCAGTGTTGTGTAAGTATAGTAAAGTTAGAACACAAAGAAGAACAGACAGAATTATAAATCATCAATTTATTCACAGCTTGATCAATTTCTTAAGATCCCATTCTGTTGATGTCTCACACTCAGTCACAGCACGACACTGTGACTCTGTTAGGCCGCCGCCATCTTTGTCACCTTTGACCTGACAGGGGGACCGTCCATTATAAAAGGGGAGGGGTGTAAGTTTTCCACACAGCAAAAGTTGCAGTATAAAACACAGCAAAAGTTGCAGTGTAAAACACCCAAAGTTGCTGTGTAAAACACAGCAAAAGTTGCAGTGTAAAACACAGCAAAAGTTGCAGTGTAAAACACAGCAAAAGTTGCAGTGTAAAACACCAAAAGTTGCAGTGTAAAACACCAAAAGTTGCGGTGTAAAACACCAAAAGTTGCGGTGTAAAATTTTGTTCTTGTCGGCCACGGTACATCCACGTTCCGGCATGACAACAGATATCTTTGGCCATTTTCGGCATGTTGACCACTGTCAGTGTGTGTGTGTGTGTGTGTGTGTGTGTGTGTGTGTGTGTGTGTGTGTGTGTGTGTGTGTGTGTGTGTGTGTGTGTGTTTGTGTGTTTTCAAAATCAGGCAAAAATTAATGCGCGCGCTGATGTCATCCATTAAAATCAATTGCTATGGCCTAATGTGAATACTCCAACGAGTAGAAATCTCGTCTCTGATATCAACCCACCGAATTACAAAGATGACAAAAAAAGAGAGATAGATTTGGTGCGGATTGCAGATGGGTTAGGGTTCTATTTGTGACATATGGTGGAAATCTAAATACGGGGTCGTGGGTGCCATATTGATTATATTATATATCGTGATTTGGAATGCTGGTAGGTCTTATAACCCCGTATTGGAGATGTGTAGTCATGTGTTGTTGCCAATATTGGGGTATTGCTAAGAAATTGTTTCTGTTGAGCGATGATAGAAGTAAAAATGAAAATGTATAATCATATACCCACATATTGCGGAAAATGTGGGGGTATTTCGTATATACTGTTTGTTGTTGTATATAATTGGAGCTATTAAGTTGTAATTGATTATATTTCATCTTTTAAATGTAAAGGACTCCAGGAAGCAAACAAACTTTGTATTACTAATGGAGATTCCTGATAAACATAAACATAAACATAATACTGTTTTAGAAAAAAGTCAAACTCAACAAGTTAAAATTTAGAGTTAGTATCTACATGAAGACTAGGGTAGTCACATGTTATGTTGTTGTTTATTGTTTGTTTGTTTGTTTGTTTGTTGCTTTTTTTCCTTTCGTGCCACTTCAAAAGCCAGGTTTTGGTCTGGCAAATGTAATAATTGTCAGTACTACAGCACTGCCCTGTGGTCACGAAAAATCGAGGTTCAATGTACACCGTACAGTCCTGCCCCTAGCGGATATCACGGAGAGTGCGCTAAGGTGCACTTCACTGGTCTATTGACTGATGCAATATAGAATAGCGTCGCAGCGAGGCGCTTTTACGTCATTCACTTGCAAGGAAGCACTGTTTTGGTTACCTAAATTGTTGCTTTGTGTGTATGTTTGTTTGTTTGTTTCACCAAGTAGCGACGTGTGCATGGGGAAACGGAGTTGATTTTTGACAGTTGATGGGGGGGGGGGGTCAAGCCTCAAGGTTAAGAATAACAAAATCTTTAATCATGCGTTTTGTAGATATTCTTATTGAATTGTTTTATTGCAAATTCGTTTGCTAATTGCAGGAACAGAAGAAACATGGTATAAAAACAGACAATTAGTACACACAGAGTTACAGAGTTACTATCTTATGTAAAATCTATGCGGCTGATCTGCAGTCACGGCTGGAAGGCCAGGATGGTGCTCGGCACACGCAGGATGCGGTGGGACCATCGCCATTCTGGGGTCCTGTTGGGAAACAGAAAACATGGTAAACTAGGGAAGACTAACATTTGCAAAGCAAATGCATAATGTTTACCTTCAGACATGGTCTGCCCTGTTAATTCTTACTCAAACAAATTCACACACATGTACTACTAGTATATGGTGACAGGAGCAGAGCAGACCATGAAATTGCAACATTATGTAACCCAACACCATTCACCATGGTGACAGGCGTCAACAAATCATGTCATTGGCCAGGTCAGAGGTTAGTGTTTGGAACAGAAGAGGAGGAGGAAGAAACTGAGTAAAAACAATATGCTTTCCTTCGGTAAACATAAATATGAGTGATTTGCTCTACAACAATAATTTTGTTGTTGTTGCTTTTTTTTGCTTTTGTCACAGCAATGATTGATCAATTCATAAAAAAAATGTATTGGCTGATGGTTCAATACTGATTCGGCTCGGGGAGAGAAATCCTAACCCAGTACCCTGGGTACCAGCCAAGTTTACGGGCCGCTAACCGTTTCCTTCGGCAGCCAGAAGCCCTTCGCCCGCAGACCTAAATTACCGCTGCGGTGAGCCTGTGTAGGGCCAGCCAAACTCCCCCCGGGCTAGCTCTCCCGTAATTTACACCAGCGGGAGAAGGGCTCTTGCGGCCCGGAAAACGAGTTTGGCTTCCAGGGTATATAACCCAGCTGACATGCCCTTTAACCAAGCTCAGTGAAAGTGAAGGGTCTGCTTTATATAACCAAGACGTTTCTACCTGCTGAGGAAGTCTACTGCAGATGTGTCTTACCTCCGGGTCTACTCCAAGTCGTTGGCCATGTCCTGGCCGTACTCCTCAGGCTCGATGTACCCGATGTCGTTGGTGTCTAACTCGCCGCCGGGCCTGGCGTTCTCCTCCCGGTAGATGTTCTCCTGTTCCCCGCGCAGCAGCTCGAGGAGGGTGCGGGCTTCCTCAGCCACCCTTGTGAACAATTAAAAAGGCTTGTGATTAGTCTAATACGTAGTACGCCTGCTGCGTCTTGAGCAGACTAAACGCCTGGTACCAGACACCCCCGTAAATGGAGTGTTACGTTCCGTTTTCTGTCAAAAGGGCGGGGGTATTTATCTTTGTAGGGGTGGAAAGGATATGTTTCTTTTACGAGCCTTTAGCAGACTAAATGACTATACAATGAACCGTCAATGAACTGTCTACTGTTTAAAATGCTATAGTTCTGTGCTCAATGTTTACAAAGTTGGTCGACCTCTGATGTTTAAATTAATACCTGATTATTTTGTAGTAGCTACGACATGTACCACTATTAATGTTTGCTCGTGTATTTTTACCTTCATATCTAGGGTATACTGAAGATATTAGTTTTATAAGAACCATTTCTATGTTAGCTTACCGCTCAAGTTTTTCGTCGGCGTCGTGGTCTTCAAATTCCCGGCCAGACATGGTGACGTTCTCTCCTTCCAGCGACTCCGGAAGGCCACGAGAATGATGCCCCGACCTTGAGAACATGATATAGAGACATGGTTACAAAATCTAAGCCTTTCTTTCTGTGTTGGAACTACGGCTAAAACGTTGTAACTATGCATTCTACCAACACAGATGAGCTTTCATTCATAGAGGCATGTAAGAAATAATTTGCATCAGAAAACATCGGATCACTTCTACTGAATTCAGAAGATTCTTACAAAGCGGTGCGGAACATAAAAAAAAAACTAGGTACCTGACTATAGGTTCCTATTTGGGCTGGTACCTGACCAGCCCAAATAGGAACCTTAGGTTACATGTAGTAAAGCTGGATTCGGGATTCAAGATGAAACCGTGTGCTCACGGTGTTTTACATTGATGTATAAAGGATTTTGAGAACGACTGAACCGACTACTAGTATTCTACACGAGAAAACCACCTACTCTTGCCACTTGGTCAGGTCCATCTGGGACAGAGAGGAGCACGCCACCCTCTCGTTCCCCGGCTGTGTGGGCAGCATGAAGACGTCCGGCTGCATGTGTGTGGTGCCGTCCGTGTTGTCGCACAGGATCCGGGCCAGACTGGTCTTCTTGATCTCCGTAAGCTGGGCTACACAAACAGGAAAACGGAAAATGAATAGCATCATCCTTCCTGTGGTGCCAGTGGTCATTACAAATAATTAGATTAAGGGGTAGATACGAGAGAGTGTTAGACTTTTGATCCTATCCTGTCCTTCCAGTGCAGTTTTTAGGGCTTGGAAACCCGATTTTTCAAAGCCAATATTCTAACCATTTATCTACATACTGAGTTGAAACCACACTATCCCAATGTATATTGACCCTCTTCGAGCAAAATTCCAAAAATGTTGACGGAAAATTGTTACTGGAAGGGCCCTGGGCTGATTTTTAGGGTACCACCCAGAAAATAAAGGACTCATCTTGGAGCTTGTTTCTGCAGTTTTAAAAGCCCAAAGAGTGAAATACTGACTCAAATGTGCTAATGTGAAGCAATATGTGTCACTATCACAAAGATTGCTTCATTCAGAATATTTCAGTTTTTGCTGCCTTGAAATCGCATTGGATGCCTTTAAAGGCATGTGTACAGACCTGCGGTAAACTGCCCGCGGTTCTCGAACCAGAAGCGGTCCCCCTTGCGGAGGTCCTGGAACTGCTGGGCGATCAGACAGGCGAAGGTTGGACCGACGATACCGCCCGGCGAGGACTCTTCGGCAAGACCCCCCACGAACACGTCGATGTCGTTTACGTTTCTGCAAACAATAAGATACTTCTGAAAGGATTGCGAAAGGCCATATACTACCTTCCATGCAAACTTAACACGACGTCCCTCACTTCGCTCAAGTGAAAATGAGTGTTGCCCTGTCATGTATTTGTCCCCTGTGTTGGTGGTGGCAGGTGCCGTCACCACGTCTGGTGATTACATGTTGGAATTAAAAAAAAATTGTGTACCTGTACAGACTCCGCAGTCTCTCTCGCATGGTGGCGTCAGGGATCTCCCTCGCCAGGAAGTCAAAACTCGTCGCAGCGCGGAGGCCACACCTCGCCCTGAAGGTGTTATAGCCGGGCAGCCCGTGGTCTCTGCCCCGCTGGATGTTCAGTGCCGCCAGGTCCAGGCCGCGATCTGACCCGGGAGGGTCCGCAAACAGCTTCTTCGTCAGGCCCGAGACCATGAACCGGTCGAAGTCCTGATGGGGCTGGGTGGTCAGTCCCCGTAGGATGGAGTCCGGGCCGCCTTGGTCGTTGTTGAGGACGGGGGATGGATTGAAGAAAGAAAAGGCCAACCGAATTGGGCACACGCTAGCCTCGTTGAAGTCCGGATCATAGCGGAGGAAATGGTTATCAACCAGACTGTGGCCGAACCGGTAGGCTGCCGTGGCGAAGACGTTAGAAATGGTGGGGTTGATGTAGCGGTCGTACCCAGAGTAGAACTGACCGTTTGGGGTGAGGGACAGTTGAAATGCATACATGGCCCACGGACCGACAACGTGAGGAAGGTCCTCCCCGTACGTGATCTTCTGCATCAGCGCGCCGACGATCTTCCTAGTCTCGAAGAACACACGATCGTCGTCCCAGTGCGGGTTGAGTTGGGACAGCCGCCTGGCGATCCTGTTGTGTTCCCGCAGGAAGACGGTGTGCATGGAGGTCAGTCCCGGCTGCTCGTTCACACGGACGTCCCCAGCCTGCGAGCACGTCTCGCTGCCTGTAAATCCGTCACACTCAAATTCCTCCTCCATGGCGGCGGGTAGGAGCTCCTTCTTGTTTTCGTCTGCAGGGTTCGGTCTGGACTTCAGCAGGCCGCGCGCTCCTAGGGAGAAGGAAGTCGAATGGTGAGGTACGGACTACCCTGGGTACCATCCGGATTTTCTGGGTACCATCCGGAGCGAAAAAAAGGTTTGGATTCTCAGATATTTAACTATTGTGAAAATGAATTGATGAATACTTCTGAAGAGAAACATTAGGTAAGATTTGGCATATAGCTACTGATGCACTGTGAACACCTTTAGTGCACGATGCACCAAGTAACATCTAGCGTCAGAGCACAGTAAACCAGTCAGAATTGCCCTGATGAAGATGACAGACGGTCATCGAAACGTCGGCTCGTGAAAAATAAATGGTTGTGATCAAAGAACTTCGATATTCATTCGTTTACCAACCTGATGAAACTATTTGTTTGATCCTTCTGTGGACGCTGCCGGCTGAGCTCACACCCCATACTTGGTTGCTGCTAGAGCTGACGTAAACTTGTTTCAGATCTCCTTCGATTAGCTCCCAGCTACTGCCTTGAGGTCTCTCAGCACTTAAATCTGCAACAAAGAAGAAGAACTTTATTGACACAACAAAAAGTACAGCGACTTTCGTAAGGTCTAAGACATGTAGATATACAGACAAATATACATGGGTAGAACGAAAATATCCTACGTACAGAACAATAGGTGGGTCAACTAATACTACTTGTTCTATGGTTTAAACATTCTTTGATATATTTACCTATTTGTACACAGTAAGGGTTATTGCCTTCTAGGATGAACTTAATTTTATCTATAGCATGAAATGTAACAAATTCTGTTGAGCAGGCGGAGAGAAGGTTGAACAGCTTTGTTCGTTTATCGTTATATAGTGTACAATTCAAAATAAAATGTTGTTCGTCTTCAATATCAATCGGACAGAATGGACAAAACCACATTTTTCCATATCTTCCTAACTCTATATTCAATTCATGGCTAGAAATTCTCATCTTTGTAATCGATCTACGGACTTCAACAAAAGATACCTGTCTCAGTCATTCGAAGGACGTTGTCGGTGAAAAGCAAGTAAATTGCGGATGTTCGTTTTTAAAACAAATTGCGATAATTCAAAATAGAAAAAAATCATGATGATCTAAGTAAAAATTTGCTTACGTTTAGTTATTCCAGACAATCATGTACTTTCCAGTATACTTTTTATTGGCCAAACATCACCCGTGCAATCGCAGCCTTATAGTGCTGAATCGATGCAGGGTTTACAATCAGATGATACAAATGGTAATAATACACATAATAATACACATAATACACATGATACATATTTGTTCCATCTACATTTTTGTGGAACTGCCGAAAGGTTCTGTGCGGCTGCCAATCGGCACCACAAGGTGACCTCAATACGACTTTCCCCAACCGAAGTTATGTACCCATTCACACCTGAGCGAAGTGAGGAAAGTCGTGTAAAGTGCCTTTCCCAAGGACACAACGTCGAGGCGCATGTTCAGAAATATCCCGGTTGCGACTCGGGATCGAACCCGGGTCTCCCGGTACACAGTCGAATGGTCTACCACTACGCCACCCGACGCCACCACATTTATATGATATGTTACTCTACATATTAAGATTAGGAGCCTACCTCGTCGTACGTAGATCTGGTTGTTACTGTTGACACCCCAGACCTCGCCGTCCCCAGACGTGATTTGTTTCAAGCCACTGCCGACCTGTATCCAGCTATATCCTGCTGAAGCTTCATTACAAAACGTTCCCGTGCGGTAAAAGTTCTGGTTGTAGCTGTTGACGCCCCAAACGCCGGCTCGTCCAACCGAGACGAATTTCATCGCCACCCCGTTGATCTGTTGCCAGTCTGTCCCTGTAGGTATACAGACAAGGAGTACAAGTGTCAAGACAGAACACAAATTTACGCCAAAAAGCAGTTACTAAAGTAAATGGATATGCTTTTGGAAACGGTCAGACGTTTCAGCTAGAATCCACTAGCTTTCGTCAGTGACTGCAGAGAGGCCAGAGGTGAAATGCAGGTTTATGAGCACAAACTATTGATTGATATGCAAATTAAGTGAATACAATTTTTTGTAAGGCGAAAATCTATCAATCAATAGTTTGTGCTTATAAACCTGTATTTCACCCCTGGTCTCTCAGTCACTGACGAAAGGTACTAGCTGAACCGGATACTAGCTGAACCGTTTGACCGTTTCTAAAATCATATCCAGTTGCTTGAGCAACTGCTTTTTGGCGTATCGTATTACCTGGATGTCTAAACCTTCATCGACGATGAACACAAATTTCATTGGATTTTCAACAAGTTGTTAGGAATTAATGAAACGAAGCTCAAAGCGGTATCTCACCTGCTGGATTGCTTGCGGTGATTCCGGTCCGACGAAAGACGGAACGCCCGGAGTTGACGCCCCACACCTGATTGCTGGTCGGGCTGACATGCACCTGCTTCAACTGTCCTGGAATCTGGCGCCAGCCAGTTCCTTTGGGATACCTGGAACTTATTCCTATGGTAATAATATAGTATTGGATAAAAATACAGGCATCAGTGCTAGCGCTGCTTGCTTTGAAAAGAAGAGAAGTTGAACTTATTCCTGTAGTATTAGTGTATTGAATCAAAACAAATGCATCTGCGCTGGTGAGACAAGAAACCTTCAGAAACAATAAGACTGTTGTTTTGCTTTGATACACTGTGGATCTTTCCTCTCGG